CGTCTTGCACAAGTATGGTTTTTGTTGCCATGAATCTACTGATAATAATAACTCTTTCGATTATTGGAATTTGACACACCTGAGCATCTGCCCTTGTTTGAGTTACAGTATCAACATTAAATCTTCATCAGGGGATTAGTCGGTGTGTGGCTGTTACCTGTGACTCAATACTGTTGCTTATACAATGGTAACTCTATAGTCTGCCTGCCTTACTGTAAAGATAACTCCTCTATCTTGATTATGCAACGTCTTTAATTATTATATAACTTGTATACAGTGTGGACTTAAAGGTATTGAAAAAGACTCTACTGACTGATTTAATGGAACAGAATCATATGTTTTGTGCAGTATGGTAGTCGACAGTTTTTAAATGCTGGTAAACGTGGTTATGTGTAGGGTATCCATTGTTCTGGGTGAATGTAAAAAAAAGCATGGTGGACTGAAGAGAATCTAAAAAAAAATTATTGTAGATTCAGCCAAAAACAATCAAAGAACAGAGAGTAGAGAAGAAAGTCAGGTAAAGACAAGTGCTCAGGAACGCTAAGCACAGAGACAGAAGACAAGTAGATAACCTAAAAAATATCTTTGGAGAGGAGGAAAGCCCTGAAGAGCCAATTGACCAAAGTCGATAAGAAAGAGGCGTTGATACCTAATTAACAGTGAGCAGGGCTATTAAAAGCAGATTAAGGAGAAAGAGATACACCTGATAAAATCAGACAGACTGCAGCCTGGTGCAACTGAGCCGTGATAAACTCTGTGGAGTGTCAGGGTCACTGCTAATGATGGGCTAAACAAGAACACTTAGGTACTGCTCCTCGTAATCTGCATGATGATAAATGGCTAAAACTCTATTAGCTTTAATTTATGGCAACTTTTAATCAGTCAGAAAGTACATTGACATATGGTATCACCTTTTCATCACTCTCTTTGTCAACTTGACGGTTGTGTTTATGTGCATTTCCATGCTTCCTACGAATTACATTTTGCAAGTCTTGTTTTAGGTTTTGTTGCCATGAATCTACTGATAATAATAACTCTTTAGATTGTTGGAATTTGACAAACCTGAGCATCTGATGTGCATCTACCCTTGTTTGAGTAAAAGTATCAACGTGATTAGTCAGCGTGTGGCTGTTACCTGTGACTCAATACTGTTGGTTACAGTGGTAACTCTATAGTAGACAACTGAGAATATTTAAGAACAAAATATGTAATAGTCCAGAGAAATGTGTATTGTATTGACATTTGTATCACAAAAAAAAGGCTTGCCTCATTCCCCCTCCTCAACAAAAGCACAAAGCAATCTTGTGCCCCCTATTCAACAACCTTTCATCAGCTTAAAGAAAACTCTTTGGCTGCCAGCCCTGCCCTCTGGCCCAAGCGTTGCTCGCAGCCCATGCGACTGGGATGGCACCCAGCACCTGTCTGCCCCTGAGCCTCTATTTAGTACCATTCATGTGGAACATAACTGAGCATTCACCCAACAACAATCACAGAGGGATTCCCCAGGGTGGCCTGTTCAGAGCTGAGGGGAACAAGAGCAAATCTGTGGTCAGTGTTTGACCAGTTGATTCACTCTGGCAGGTTTATACATCTTAGACTCATCTAAAGAGCAGCATGTGAGGTTTCTGTTGGTGCTACAGTGCCAAATACTGACCTTTCTTTTTGTAGTACTCATCCTCGTATCCATCAGATGAGTCCGTGTGGTAGTTCAGAAGCTCGTTCTGGTAGATCACTGCATAGTCCAGCTGTTTATTCTTGGACTTTTTCCCCTTTTTCTTTTTATCTTCATCACTGTCAGCAGATCCTTTCTTTGCCTTCTTCTTTTTCTTCTTCTTTGAGTCCTCCTCTTCTTCCTGCTCTTCAATCAAGGGCTCCTCATCATCATTGTTGTGAGATTTCTTTTTCTTCTTGCCATCTTTTGACTTTTTATCCTTGGAGCCCATCTCCTCCTCTCCCTGTGGATATTCAGCAGAGGGTTTCTTTTTCTTTTTCTTCTTTTCCTCCTTCACCCCCTCAGTCACTTCCTCTTTAAGCTTCTCTGATTTCTCCTTTCTGGAATTGGTTGCGTGGTCATTATTGTTCTGCTCATCTTCTTCAGCTTCATTTTCAATCACAGCATCATTTGCTTTCTTTTTCCTCTTTTTCTCCTTTACTTTTTCACCCCCTTCTCTCTTCTCTGAGTCCTCCTGAGTCTCAGAGCTCTTGTGTTTCTTCTGACTCCTCTCTCCTTTTGTGGAGTTCCCACGGGACACTCCGCTGCTCCTCTCCTTTAACTTTGGCTCCGTATCCTCCACTTCGTCATCAACTTCTTCAGTTTCTTCTGAAGCTGTGGATTTTTTCTGTTTCGACGGCATCTTTTATTCATCCACTTCCCTGGCTCTTAGTTTCGTAAGTGCTGCCTTGAGTTTCTAATGGTGTAAGACAATTCAATTGACCATTGGCTGTGGGGCGGCTCTGGGATCATGGGGTTCAGAGCAGCCTGGGTGTGAGCGGTGATACCAACCCAGGACATGCAAAGGGCTGGATGGCTGCATGGATGTCTCCAACCTGGGTAGTATGTGGCCATACAACCAACACACACTACTCATGAAAAATTACTGTCACCTCAGGAGGCACGTGACCCATGGGAGAAAGCCCTGTGAAAAAGGAGCCTTGCACAGAGAACTTATCCTCTCTGCCACGGCACGCTCCATTATTCATGGTGTCAGGATCGCTTTACGGGCCGGGGGCGTCTCGCTTTAACCTGCAGTCACATGTACACAGATGGAGACAGACAGACAGAAAGAAAGACAGACAGACAGACACACAAACTCTCAGTTACAACAACTCTTCTTCTGATTCAAACAAAAAAAATCTTTAAGTCCTGAGAAAGCAGAATATTCATGCAGCAATGATTTATATAGAATAGGTTCATAGGTTTAGTTTTCTTTTCAAAAGTAAGATGAAAAGATTGATACCCTATTATATCCGTATGAACAAAGACTTGAAATAAGGCAAACCAATTAGAAAAGTAGGAAGAAAATACTGAAATCTATAAAGATAAACCTTATTTATTTGTATAATCCATAAAAACCACAACTTTTTTTTGTACTAACTAAGCATTAAGTAAATAAAATACAACACGTTGATACATTTCTTTAAACTGTAAACTTTATCCCATTAGCTTTATTGCTGCTACCTGATAAGACAGACATCAAGGGGGAGGGCAGAGTTTGGTCATATTGATCTTTCAACATCAGATTACCCGACCAAGGGATGACAGCAGAGTCATGTGAAACAGTAAACCCAGGCGCTGCTCCTCTAAAATAAAAGGCAAAATGCTGCAGTTTTCTTTTAATCGTCACATTCATAACATCCACGTAACAAAATTTTACATTGTGATCACAGATAGGCCTTTCCCACAGCAGACATTTCACCATGTCATCACAGAAAAACAGCTGTTATCGATAACTTTTTCAACAGCTCTGATCAGTTTACTCCAGTAACACGTGACCACACGACTGTGTGAACCACCACAGTTTGTGCAAAATACTAATTCAGCCAAAATTCATCTTCTCATTTACACCCACAGTAGCATGTTAAATTGTCTGCAGTGAAAATGGGCCTTTTCTTGTTTTCAGTGAGATCCTGTCTCATTAGTCAACCTGGTATAGTCCAGAGCTGTGTATGTTCCCCTCCCTTAGTTCAAACATCAAAAGTATATTAAAAATACACTGTTCTTGATCCCTGCCAAGTACTACTAATAACTTCAGTTATATTATCCATATGTTTTAGTTTTTTAATACTGAAACTAATATTACTTTCAGCTATTTTTGGTATTTGCCATCTTCCCCCACTCATCAATTAGGCTACATTACAACAATCAAACTCTTCATCGTTAACTTTTCCCAAAACACTTTCAGCCATTTATCCTCCTTGACTTTTAATGTTAACTAGCTCCTTCAAATAGCACATTACTATAAATATCAGCTAATTATTTAAATGTTAAAACCCACAACCTTTAGCTAGCTAGCTTTCACTGTTTATGCAATGCTTTGCCCTAAGATATCAAACCTTTATGCAATGCTTTAAACACTAGCTAAATGTTCACTACTCCAAACATTCTCTCTTCACACTTCATCTATTACTCTTTGTTTGCTAGCTAGCTATGTCTGCTAGCTTGTCTGCTAGCCTGCTATCTAGCTAGCTAGCAGACAAGCAGGCAAACAGGGAGGAAGAGGAAACAGGAATATTACTCACTGTTAGCAGGGACACGGGAAACGTGAGGGAACTATTTAAAGCATAAAATCTGACAAAGAACTTGTGAAAAAGATTTAAATCGGAGCTTGTGTGATGAGGGTCAGATGAAGCTGAAATGTATGGTTGTAAAAGGAAGCCTTATAAGTTATAACATTGGAAAATGACACAATAGAAGTGCAGTAACACACCTTCATGTTGGTTTACAGACCAACAAACCGAAGACAATCAAAAGAAAGAGAGAGAGACAGGTGTGTGTGTGTGAGTGAGTGGGGAGGAAAGGTCAGGTGACCGGAGATGAGGAACAGGTGAGCAAGTGGAATAATAGACATGAAGAAAGTCCAGGGACATCTAGTGGTTGGATGACGAACGACAGGTCAGACAGAGAGACCTGTTGACTGTAAATAAAGATGGACGACATAAGAATATTAACAATAAAAAGTCATTTTTGTTCCCGCAATGGGGAAATTTGCAATAGTACAGCAGCAAGAAGACATCAGCAGTAATAAGTAGAAATATAGAAAACTATAAGATCACTGCCAGGCAGACTCCAGATTTTGTATCGAGTATCTAGGGTTAATCTGGATAATAGTTGTGAGTGGAAATGTGTTGTCTATCTTAATATATTGTGGAGAGAACATGAATAGTCATTGAATAGGCAGTGATGGAAACTGCCAGATATTATTATAAATTGAAGATGAGATACTAGTATGTGCAAGTATGTATGTTTAGTGTTGGAGACACAATAATAACGAACATACATGTGAGAAAATCCAAACAAGTTTATTTACAAACACAATACCAGTATAAAGAAAGATCCAGAGTCAGTTAAGAAGCACTGTGTTAAATATATTCCCTCCTTTCTGCACACAGACCAGGTTCCTTTCCTTTTCTGATCTTGATTCACTTGCACAACAATTTGTGGTCAATCCAAAATATTTTTGGTTCATATTTGCTAAACTCGAATCACTTAAGTTAATGTAAATAAATAGAACGGCATGTTTCAATATTATTAGCAATATTTTCAAATACAAAGGGTTAAAGTATGACCAGTGCTCAGCCAAGCATGAACAGATGAATGACAAAAAAATGATTTACAGTCTCTCAAAAACTTACAACAAAATAAACAGTGAAAACTCACAATGCATTCCAGTGCACAACTTAAATGCACAATGCTTTCTGGAGTGCAAATAGTTAACAGTTCAGAAGGTTAATAACTTAACACATAAAAGTGTTGTACCGCTTCACAAAAGGGCAACAACCATCTTCATTCTTGCATCTTTAATCAATGGGAACCGCATCCAATATTATACATTTAACTTCGACAAATCTGTTTGTGTTTCCGTGACAAAGTTCATGTACATATCTCCAAGCACTGTGAGATTCAGTAGAGGCTTAAGTGTAAACATATTTTAGTGATCATTGAAGCAGGCACACACAAAGCCAAGTACAGAGTAAAGTCATGCAGAGCATTACATGATTATAAATGGTGTTCAGACTTCACTAATTCCAATAGAATATAAGTTGCACATGGATGTCTACACCTCAGAGAGTCTTAGAAACAGTCTTAAAACATCTTTTTCATTCAAGAGACCAGCTAAGCTTTAGGTCGATGTTGATGCATTTGAAGACAAGCAAAACGCATGGGTGCACTGCATATCATAGAGAAGGGTATTATATCTCTTAAGGCAGCATGGCTTAAGACATGGATGACAGCAAGAGGCTGGGTCACGAAACAGTGCTCTGTAGCTTTACAAATCGGATGAAGTCAAAAGTGTTGCTGCAGGCGGTGACGCTGCAAAATATTTATCTGGCTTTTGTCCGAAATCATGACGAAGCCAAAAAAAAAAAAAGGAAGAAAAAAAACATCCTAAATTCTTCTCATGTGCCCCCTTTTTTCACTCACAGGAAATTTTAAAGGGGAGGCCACAGAAAACAGGCCATTTTAATAATGTTTTAAAATATTCACCAAATAAATATCTGGTGAATAGGAAATAGATTTAAAAAGTAGACAATTGGATGTTTGACAATTTTATCATTTTCTTTTAAATATAAGCTTGATATCAAGGTTCAGGCTTTGTTTTTTTACACAAACATTAAAAGCTGCCACACCCACAGAGTGTCCGAGATAGAGAGAGAAGAAGAGGAAGAAGAAGAAGAAGAAGAAGAAGAGAGGGGGGAATGAGGCTGCACAAAGACACCCACGGCTGCCCCAACGTTGAGTAGAAAACAATACCTCTGTACAGCAGAGCCACTAGAAAACTTCACAGAAACAACATCACTAAGAAGACCACTTTTCACATTAAAAACAAGCATCCTATGGTCCGACAGTCAAAGAGACCCATAGTGATTTGATTGGCTAAATAGACGACCTCAGGTATGCATCTAAAAAGAGAAGCATGTTGGTAGTTAAAGCAAGCAACCTTCAATGTGTGGCTGAATAAGTGAGAGCAAAGTGTACGCTCCGAAGGTCAACTCTCTTTTTACACACGGAGGAAATAGTGAACTGTCTCAATCACTGACATACAACATGACAGGTAAAATAAAAAAAGATATCAGGTGTTGAGCTTCCACATTAAAGCAGAGGAGTGAGGGATCACGTACACTGCCCCGTGTGCACGTGGATGATCCCGCGAGTATGCATGTGAATGAAGTTGAAGATTTCGTGAGGCATCGCGTGGAAGCCCGGCCTTGGCTTGACGTTGTCGTAGTAGTGATGGGTGATGAAGATGCCCGAGGGGTTCATGGGGAATGCCCAGAAGCCGTAGAGGTGAACCTCCTCGCACATCTCCAAGGCGGCGGTCACCAGCATCAGGCCGCTGCTGAGCCTCTTGGCCCGGACGCCCTGCACTGCCCAGAAGCGCTGCACGTTGAGCAGGTACTGCGGGTGGAAGAAAAACACGCCTCGCTGCGAGTCGAAGTCGTCCAGCATGTATTTGACCCTGAAAGACACGTCCGTGTTGCGGGTGTTGTAGAAGGCTGGAAGCACCACCGAGGAGTTCTCGTAGTTCTGGAGGACTTCGTAAAACGGACGCCGCCATTTCTCCAGCTTCTGAAATCTGGAGGAGTCGAAATGTGAGATGACAAAAACCAAAAGAGAAGAAGACTGCACAAAGACACACACACAGAGTGAAAGAGAGATCTGATTCCTCACTCTGACTCATATCTACAGTACCTCTCAGTAATAATGCTCGGATTTATTGTCACCAGATCTGTTTTAGTGCCAACATCCGCTGCATACTTCTCCATTATGGGTGGGATGTTGCACCTGGACAGAAAGAGAGTTCATTGATAAACAAGTTCAAATGTAATCGAGTTGACTTGATTCATTCAAACTAAGCAAATAGATACAGAGCTGCACAATTAAATTCAAAATAGATGTGATCAGGTGTATTCCTTTTTTAAAGTCCAAGTTTTATTCCATTATAATTGTTACAGCTACAAGGTGAAACTACATTTATATTTTGTAGTATAAGAGAAATATTTGGATTTCCTATAACAATCACATTACTATAAATGAGCAAAAATAAATGTGTTTATCATTGTGCAGCTCTCACATAAATACTTTCATAAATTATTCCATCTATTGACCTTACTCTGAATATCACATTATTTCAATTACATAGTTTACATTGTTGCTTAAATAATTTCATTCATGTTGCATTCAAGTCCGAATACCACACATCTAAATGCGTCTTTATTCTGGGTATGACCTTTTTTGGGTTAAGGTGATGTTAAATGTCTAATTCAGATTATTCTCCTAATCGGGTTAATATGAGAATAATGGTGTCCAGGTAAATGTGTGTATTGCTGAATTATATGCTGCGTACCTAAACACAAAATCTGCTGAATCAATTTCCTTTCCACACTTGCTGTTCTTGATGATGCCGCCATTTCCAATGACAGCACATTTCTTGTACTGCGATTTGGAATACGGCATGTCCTGCATGAAACAGAGGGCACTACAAAGTCAAATATATTGTAGCACCAGGTGAAAGGGTGCAATTTAAAAAACTATTTTCAGGAACATAGCAAACATGTAGACAGCTCACATTGGAATATATATCATGCAGGTTATGAACTTACATCTGGGAACATCTTAAAGACCTCTGTGGTGATGGGGAGTATACCACTGGTGTCCACCTCGTACCTCAGCTTGGTGCCTGCAGGTGTGTTCCTCTTGGTGGTAAACAGGAAGGATGGAGCATTACAGCAGCGGGACAGAGACATCCTTCAGGGAGACACCAGAGGAAAGTCAGAGTTAGTTTCATCTCAGTCGACTGAGGGCAGCATCACAATATCAGCTTCACCTCCTCATTAGGATCATACAGACCCCACAGATGTGTGTGAAAATAATAATAATTTCACAGACCAATTTTAATAAATGTATATATATTGAACTTATATATGAAATAAATTAAAAATCTAATTATTGAGATGGTAATGCTTCTATTTGTCTCAATTGGGTTTCCACATTTAAATGGGGCAAAAAATACAGCAATGAACAGAAGCATTATTAAACCAAATTAGGGACTATTTCTAAATATAATCACTTTGTTTGTGGAAAAAACATTCACAGGCAAAAACATGCAGAATTCTGTCCTACATAGACACTTTAATTATGCTTGGGATTAATTAAGACCCAGTTAAATCCTTCTTATAAAACTGCAACTGCATCAAATCCAAACAGACTAATTTGGGATTTGTGACGTGTAATACTCCATTATTTTACAAACCAATCACATCACATACAGAATTAGAAAATCATTTGTATTTAACCATGTTTTCTAACTAGAGACTTTGAAACCTTAAACAAGAGGATGTAAGAATCATTTTCTATGGCAAACATCAGTAATCTCTACAGTTCAAAATC